TGTTCCAGAATAAGGATTTAGCGTTAGGTCCCAGTCCCACTGCCCGCTTGTTCACTTAGGCAAGTGATGTCACCTTTCCTGGCCTCAGTTTCTGGGTCTGTAAATTGGGTGGGATTATGTCATAAAAAGGCTATAAGAATGAAACGTTTAAAATGCATGAAAAGCCCTTGCTTGGCACATGGTGAGTGCACAATAAAGTTGAGATATTTTATTATTTATAATTTTATAGATGAAGTCATGGTAAAGGACTTAATTCGTGGCATCTGTTATGCTTTATTGAGGCTCTACTTGACAATTTTCCAATAGTTCAAACTTGGGGATGCCATAGTGTCCTGCTTCAGTTTGACACCAATAAATGAACTCACTTCTCCTTACTACTTCTCCCAAAAGAGATAGGTCAGGATATCACACAAAGCGTGGGAGATACTATTCCTGTGTTTGCTTATCATCTTATTATTACTTCTGTAATGATCACAGTCACCTGCAATTCAATTAGTTCTAAACCAAATGTTCATCAGAGTTAGGTTTAGTGGAATTAATATGTCAATTGCCAAAGTTAATTTGAATCACCCCCTCCATTCACAAAATGTTGCTCTTTTCTCTTGCCCACTCAATGTTTAAGGATTTTATTTGTCCCATTTCAGCTTATTTGGCCCAATTAAGATTTCAAAGAAAACCCTTAATAGATTGACAGGTTCTCTCTCTCTCTTTCACTTTCTTCTCTCTCTCTCTCTCCTCAGTTTGGAGGAGGCCTTATTCCTGGTTACCATAGCTGAACCATGAGATACCACATGGAAGAAAGGTATGATTTATATGAGAAAGAATGAAAATAAAAATCACACCCCACTTAGAGGAAGAGACTGGGACCGAGTCAAAATAGTCAGAGATGAAAGCTTAGCAACTTTGCACATTTTAAGCACTGCCTGGAATTCTGACTGATGGGATATTCTGGAAGTCTGGAAGGAAGGCTTAAACAAATAAGTGTGCTAAGAGGGACACTGAAGTTGTTTCATGCCGTGGCTGTTTGAATCTTTGGGCATGAACTAGCAATTATTTTCATAGGGTGTGGGAGGAGAAGTAACCAGGGGATTTCTGAGGCCCATAATGGTCTTCTGTGGTGTACGCTGAGAATCGAATGTTTTACCACAAGATTACAGGCTCTCCATCTCTTCTGACCAGTGCAAATTCTCATCCACACTCCAGCCTCGGTGTGTCATCCTGGCTGGAGTCTGTGGAGGGGAGCGTCATCTCACTGCCTGGGCTGTGGAATAAATAAGATGGTATTAGCCATCATCTTCGAGGTCCGATGACTCCACGGCTCTTGGGGAGGTGTACACAGGATGCCTCGATAGTCTAAAGTCTGTCTCTTGCAAGTACCTCAAAGTATTTGGAATTAATTAGCCAAAACAGATGAAACACCCTAGAGTCTCCATTTATGAGTAGAAATTATAAAGCATCCAGGAAAGATCAAAAATAAAACAAATAGCAGAGTACATTCTTCATGGGCCAATCGTGTATTTTCAGATGTTTTTTATTAGTAACAAAAGCCAAGCTATCGGAATGTGTCCTCTCTGATAGAGCAAATTCTTTGAGGACAGCCTTCCTGAAGCTTAACCTACTGTGACTTTGCATAGCGGAATGCCCAGGATGATATTAATGTTTTTTGTAGTGGAGATGAGAGGCAGAAAAATGCTCAAGTTCCTGGGCAGAGCCCTTCGTGTGCCATTCTGTTATTCTTTTATTTCAAACACCGAGTCTACCTTTTCCCCTAAACCTGAACATGACATAAACATCATTTAATTTCTCTTTATCTCCTCATTGCAGGCACAGGATATGAAAAATATTAATGTCATCCTGAACTTTACTGGTTTCAAACAGAAGGATATTCTGTGGTTCACATAATTGGTAGGCATTTGATTGGGGGAAGTCCTCCAGGTTAAGTGCTGTCGCTTGTCACCATAACTTCCCTACACACTGAAGCTAATCTCCCAACGCATTATTTCTGTTGTGTCACAAGGGAGCCCTGGTTCCTGCCTGGTGCAGTCCCTTCTGTAATCTGGCGGGTCCTGACTTTCAAGCCTCATCTCTCCCATGCTTCTACTTGAACTTAATTACTAAGGTCCAGACAAACCTGAACCTTAGTCCAGAATCATTCTTCCAACACCCCAGGTACTCCTCCATCTGTGCTCCTTTGCTCATCTCCATTAGAAAGCCCGTGTCATCTGCCTGTATGTCAATCCAGTTTATGCATCATGGCCTTTCAGCAAGAGGCCTGTTGTGGTCACTGTACGTCTGATATTTCCCTCTTTTAAACTCATGCCACTATAGAGTATTCTTTATTTATTGCCCTTTATTAAGCAATTTTCAAACCCACCTGCACTAAATCAAGGTGCATTTACTGATTACCCTCTCTGTGTCCATAAGGTTCTGGGAACAAAAGATATCATACAAACAAAATGTATATGAGCCCTATGTTTGTGAAGCTCCAGGGCATCTCTTTCATTAAATTGTAACTCTTCAAGGACATCCACTTCAACTTTATATTTCACATAGGACAGTGTCTTGAACATGGAAGGCGGTTATTGATTTGTATTAAATAAGTAAATCCATGGTTTCCAACCTTATAAGACTCAATGTCCTGTACTAGCCAATATTTTGTGATGCACCTGTACAATGCAGAAGGAAAAGTAACAAGCAGGATCATCTGTCTACGCATATATCTGGGAAAAAAATAAATGTATATCCACATAAATACAATACCCTCGAAAGGGGCCATTAAAGAAAAGCTATAACAAAACAATATGCCCCTCGTTTCTGTAAATGCTTAGACTCGACTACCTAAAAGACGGGATCAAGTAGTCAGATGAGTGAGTTTGGATTCTCAACAAGCGAAAAGATAAGAAACCATTCCCTATATGAGGGGCAGGAAAATGAAATAGCAGAAATATGAGTGACACTAAAATGGAAACTAGTGTTCGGATAAGTTATAACCTAGACTCATTCATGCAAAATAAAGAGAGAAGTAACCTTAATTGAAGTTGGGATAACATGCCAAGGAAAACTTGCAGACTAACAAAGTGGAGAAATGAGGAAGCATGACAGTCCAACAAATGAGCTGTATCTTACTTGTAAGGGGAGGGTCAAAATAACTCATATGGAATGACCTAGGGCAGAGTAGTGACAGAGTAGCACAGAACACATATCTTCTATTTTAAATTCCTGCCACGTGTTGGGGAATACTTTTCAGTTTCTGGTATTTATTAAGACTTTCAAGGCCAAATATTTTGGCAGGTGGTAGGGAGCGGAGGGTGGATTAAGAAAAAAAAAAGAGTAATACATTCAGGAGGCTGTAGAAAACTGTTTTACGATATGTTTCTGGGGGAAATATAAGAGGAAAATTAAAATTAATAGGCAACTCACTTCTGCTTCCGGTCATGACTGGAACCAATATTGGAATAGCCTTCCTGCCGTAAACAACACATATCTGAACAACATATAGGAAAGAAATGGGTTTTTATGTTGGATGAGAGCCAGCACCAGATTGGGATTCCCAAGAGAAGTGAAAGAAGTGTGTCATATGATTCGGACTGGTTTTCAGTCCGAAGCCATGCTCTGGACCACAGCACAGGGAGCAGGAGTCTACACAGAGCATGATCATCTTGCTGAGCTAGACAAACAGAAGAGCCCAGGGAGGCTGAGAGAGCTCAAATTGCCAGGCAGAGTTCCCAAGAGAGAAAGAAGAAATACAGAGAAGCTCCAGCAATCTGCAGAAAAGTTCCCTTGAATCTAGGATGGAACTCTAAGAGGCTGAGAATAAACAGCTAGTGGGGAAAGAGCAAGTACCCAGGAGCTAGGAGGTGGACAACCGTGGAGCATGCATGGGCCTGAGAAGGGTTTGAGTTCAGTCCAGAATGGAAAGATCTCATTAAATCTTTGGAGCACTAGAGACCCCAGAAGAGCCATGCCTTAGAAGTAGGGCCAAACTAGTTACTCAAGTCTTGACCTAATAAACCTTAATAATAAGACTTAAAAGAATTGAGCCAATCCACAGGTAGTTTAACTGCTGCTGAAGTGAAATTCAATGCTCTTTAAAAGAAGACAACAAAAATCAAGAGAATTGGCATTATAACGCTCACTACCCAGAATCTAATCCCAGTGTACTCAGCGTGTAATGGTGGATTCCCAGTTATCCTTGTGGAAAATGTGTAACAGAAGTGAAAATTGGGGTCCCAGAAGACAAGGGAGGGAGGACAGAAAAAATATTTTAAGAAATAATGTTCAAAAATTTTCCCAACTTGATGAAAATTATAAACACACAAGTTCAAAAAGCCAAGTGAACTCCAAACGGGAGATTCACACAGAAAACACAAACAGGCACGTTAATATCAAATTTCTTTCTTTCTTTTTTTATTATCAAATTTCTTAAAGCTGGTGAGAAAGAGAAGAATCTAAAAAGCAGTTGGAGGAAAAAAGACATATTATGTGCTAGGAAACAGATAACAATTACCAATAATTATCATTATCAGAGACAACGTAGCCGGAAGACAAGGATTGGCATTTTAAGAATACTGGGAAAAAACAACAACAAACGCTGCCCCCTGAAACCGCCCCCCAAACCCAACAAGAACAAAAGCTCTTCTGTTTATTAAGAATCCTAAGTCAGCAAAAACATCCTTCAAAAATGAAAATGAAACAGCCATTTCACAAAACACCAAAGCTGAATTTCTTCACTAGGAATTACAAGAAATTTTAAAGGATGTTCTTAAGCCTGAAGGAGAAAGATACCAACGACTCTGAAACTCAAATCTTTGGCCTCCTCCATCCTTTCTCAGGTAACTCTGGGAATGTTGGCTGACATGCTTATTTTCCATTTCAAATAAATGATTCCCATCGAACCACTAATGGAAATTCATTCAGATCTTTATATCTCATCTTTTGCTAGCAGCCTATGAGTAATATATTTCCAAATCATTACACTTAGCCTTATTCAACAGCTGGAAAGAACCCTGGAAATGGTCAGTGACAAAGGTTATTTAAAAAAAAAAAAGTTTTTCTTTTCTTTTTTAAGATTTTATTTATTTATTTGAGAGAAAGAGAGTGAGTGAGAAAGAGACGAGCAGGGGGAGGGGCAGAGGCAGAGGGAGAGCCTCTGAGCCCCGGTTCCCCACTGAGCAAGGAGCCTGATATGGGACTTCATCCCAGGACCCCAGAATCATGACCTGAGCCGAAGGCAGATGCTTAATCAACCGAGCCACCAGGGGTCCCAAAAGAAATCTTTCTTGATAGTTCCTATGAAAAATTGCTTTTACTCTAATGTGATTAATGTAATTTTCTTACATCTAAAGGATCACTTTTTTATCAATAACTCTGAAAAGTAAGTACATCATTTTTCAATATTTTAATTTTGGTATTTAATTTGTCACTAACATTTCATTGACTGAATGAAATAATTGTACAGCAATATGAAATAGTGAGCAAAATATTTATAAGCATTTTCCTTTGAGAACCACCTCAAATGTAGGAAAAGATTACATATTATGTCAGATAAACCTTATAGTATCTTTGTTGTTTTATAGGTCTCTAAATAATCTGTTATTCAAAAGGCTTAGTCTGAATTTCATTAAAGACTGATGAAAGTATTTACCGATTTGTGAAATGTTTCACCTAGATACATGTCTACTAGTTTTCCATGAAAAATAGAATGAACTGCTAAAACATGCTGATCCTTTAAGTTGTTATAAAGCCTTGTTGACAAATCATAGCAGGTCTCATTATCTATGGTACAAATGATTTTGGAAGTGAGATTTTTTCTAATTTTTTTTTTAAGAATTTCAACTACAGATGTCCTTATTTGTCCTCTCTCGTAATTTTGAATATATTAGTTTCTTACAACTTTTTTCTTTCTTTGCAAAGCTTATGTATGTGAACAGATCTTTATCATATAGGATGCTTTCATACACTTGTCATAAAAATCTGCTTTGTGTAGTTTATTACTTGGTGGTTAATTTTTAAAAACTGTTTGCCATCTTGCCAATTCTTTTTGAAATAACATTGCTTAATGAAAAAGTAAAAAACAAAACAATTATTGTATTTATATTTCTTTCCATTGCCACTCCAGTAAATTCTTGTACAGCTAGTAAGATTCGTTTTTCTCCAAGATTGTGTAGCTTACCACATTTTGCAATCATTTGTACTACTCTCTAAGATTTGTTCGTTTTTGTTTAAAAGACTATAAACATTTCAGAGACAAAGTTCCTTGGAAGTATAGCATACCTTTGACAACTTTATTGGGATGTTCCTTTGTCAAATGTCTTTTTAATATTAATGATTTTGTTACTTAATTAGAAAAAAACCCAAATAGGGATTCAGGGCACATTGGTGATTTTTGTGGACAAAGCTTCAAATACTCAACTGGATATTATTGTCTTTTTCCTTTATTTGTGATATTTTGAAGTAAGATATGAAGAATTATATTCATACACATGTTCAGTTATCATGAATGGAACAACTATGAATATCGACTTACACATGTGTTTTGTGTTAGAAATGCAAATTCTATGACTTGAGTTGCTTTTAGTGGTACTATTTTCCAAAATGTTGAGAAAATCTTTGCAAAATAACATAATATAGTTTTCTCTTGATTTACACAGTAGTTACATTTTTGGAAAATTTCATAGATACTGTTAAATAAATTCATATATATATTATGTATTATGTATATATACATACACACAGGAATTAGGGTTAAGGTTCAGGTAATTGTACCAGTTAAAATTAAAAAACAAAAATCTGCAGAATGTAGAACAATTGATTGTAGTTTGGAACTTTGCTGAACTCGGCAAGACATCTAACATACCTGGGCCCCTTCTCACTAAATGCTAGAAACTTCCAAAACCTTGTTCTCAACCAAAACACTACGGCAGATTACAAAAATGTTCCTTAGAGACCTTCTATTGAATGACACTATGGTAAAAGAATAATTGTGAATTGACCGTGGGCAATTCCTCAGGGCGAGGTGCTTAGGCTACACATTTCATATACTGCCCATAAATGCCCAACAGAGGGCGTAGGTGGGAGCCAAAATCCACTGTGCGCTCAGTCCTTCCTGGAGGAAGAGGTAGGCAACTTCTCTTCCTTAAAAATGCATCTTCCTCTTCCCAAGGAAGGGTCCAGAGAGGTTACCTTTCCTTATTCTTACAAATGCACGATGAAAGCAAATTATGTACAAAATAATCAAGTGGAATACTCTCATATCTAATTAAGTATGTCTGAATATGAAGCAAGTGAGCACAAAAAAAAAAAAAAAAAAAAAGAGTCCCGAAGTGGAAGAATGATTTCCTTAACACATATCCTTTATTCCAACATTATCATAATTGCGGATAAATGTGTATTGTAGCTTTTGACTGATCATTTCAGAGGTATGGAGGTCAGAGGGGGGAATGAAATTGCATTTAACCACCTTTGCCATAGACTCAGGGAGCCATCCTTTCTTCATCTGTACTATATTATAGCTGGTTTTCTAGTGAAAACTCACCTCATTTGCAAAGTATTAATAGTCTTGTTACAGGTTAGGGGTAAGCCTGGAGATTAATCTTATCAAAATGTGTGACTAGATTGTATTTTGTTTATCTATTTCTCTACCAAGGACACTAGATGCATTTTACTCTCCACTATGGTACTCATGCTGGTTATACTCTCCGTGGAATCCCCATTAGCAGCCATTGCTGAGAAGCTCTCTGTCTGAACTATGGGGTCAAAGCTCTAGCCTGGGAGAGAGAATGGTTTGCGGCTGGTGTCTCCTCTAAATGGCAAGTACGGTGGCTACAGAAAACTAAAAATAACTATGAGTCCAGCTCAGGATAAGAGAGACATTACAACTCAAGGACACTTGTCTGAAAATATCTAAGTGATAAAATATATTTTTAAACGTTGTTTTCTGAATGATTATTGCCACTGAAAAATAATAGTAGCAAGCCACAAGAAAAGTTTTATTTGGCTAAAGTCTCCACCCAAGCCCAGCTCTGACACTACCAGACATTCTTGGTAACTTGGCAACAAAATCTCTTCTATTATGGAAAGGCCATGTTTTTGAATACATATTAATTCCTCTGATTGGTGTCTGGGGCCAGTCAGCACGCAAAGCTGTTGGAGATTGTACTGGGCTCCACTTCTTACCTGGCTTAGCTTCTCTGTCCCAGCAGCCCCTGGCTCCACTCCCACCTGTAGATAGATAGCTCTTTCTCTGAAGAGCTTCCTCACTGCCTCCGCTCTACCCTTGTGTCATCATGTCTCTTAGCCAGAAAGTGTTTGGGAGTTGAGGGGGTGGGCTGCTGTTCCAAGTTGCAATTAGAGAAAATGAGGGGGTTCTCTCTCTCTCTCTCTTTTTTTAACAGTGTCCTTGCCTTCTGAGGCATTGAGTCGGATCATCTGGGACTGTTCTGTGTTGCTCGTCAGGCAGAAGCATCATGAAGGACTTCAGAGTGTGTAGGTTCCTGACCAAGATAGACCTGGATTAGAATCTTAACTCCTCCATTACCTGTCTGAAAGAACCTTCCAAAGTCTCAATTTCCTCTCTGCCTCAGGCATCCTTAGGACAAATTAGAACCAAATGGGACGAGGCTACCTATTGCACAAGCAGAACAAATGAAAACATTACGGAAGAAGAAGTGTTCTGTGATTTTATGAAATTGTCAGGGGCTAATTTAATAGCTCCATTTCAGGCCATTCTAGTCTTTGTGGACTAGAGACAGAAAAAAAGAAAAAAAAAAGACAACCATAGGATAACTTCCTTCCTTCCTTCCTTCCTTCCTTCCTTCCTTCCTTCCTTCCTTCCTTCCTTCTTCCTTCTTTTCTTTCTTCTTTTTCTTTCTTTCTTCTTTCTCTTCCTTTCCTTCCTTCCCTCTTTCTTTCTTTCTTTCTTTCTTTCTTTCTTTCTTTCTTTCTTTCTTTCTTTCTTTCTTCTTTCTTTCTTCTTTCTTTCTTCCTTCTCTCCTGGCTAGGTATGATGTGGAAAATGATATTTCTTCATCAGAGTGAAAGCAAGTTTCTTTCTCCTTGTCTGAGAGTGCATGCACAAATATAAAGGGCTGATCAACACATTCATTTCTGGACAATAAATGCATTGCAATGGGTCTCCTTATTAGAATAAGGTAGATTATTCTGCTAATTGTCTGGCACCATGAATCACCTGATGCTAATCCTCTGACTGGGGACACCTGGCAGTTCTCAGCCTTGTGGGAGAGTTGATTGAATGGCACGGGGCCTGGGCTCTTTCCTTCCCACTGCCCCCCACACTTTTGTGTGGTTTGGGGCTGCTTTTATGAGACAGGGAGATTTTCTTTCAGGAAAATATGGTGAACTAAAAAGTCCTTTGTGTCTTCCCTAACCTGGGGAGAGGGATTTCAAATCCCCTTAGTCTGGAAGGCAAGGGTGGCTGAAAGCTAACAAAGGAAACCATTTTAAGCTTGATGAGCTGAGAGAAGGGAGACTATTTGAAGCTCTGGAAAAATCCCAAAAGGTTGGCTTTTCTCCTTTTTAATATAAATGTGTGACTAGACTCTAAGAGCCCATGTGATCTGTATGCTCCTGGTGGGTATAGGTCTTGAAGGCTGCTACTGTTAACAGCTAAGGGCCATGCTCACCCTCTTGAGATCCAGCCAGCGATGTGGCTGTATGAGGGACAGGTTTATGCCTGGAGCAAGAATAACCTTAAGAATCACCTAATTAAACATATCATAATGTCAGCTCATGGTGCATACACTTTTCTTTAGAAAAATGTGATACTTGTCCTGGAATGGGACAAAATATGTATTTTTTTGCATTTAATATCAACATGTTACAAAGCCTTAACATTTTAATTAAAAATTCTGCCTTTTGTATTTTCCCCAGGTTCTAGATTAATTTTCAAAGTGTGGAAAGAAATCCTGGGCTTCCCACATCCTGCCACTGGCTCCCTACTCTTTCCTCCACTCTGGAGTGCAATCATGCAGTCCTAACACTTGGAGGGGAGTGCTCTCTGAACCACCACTGGGACCCTGGGGGCTTGTTGGTTATTTTTGCATGGGGGCATTAAAATGCCAGCCATCAGTTTGTGTCTCCTGGTGAAGACATCTGTATGCGGAAGAGGCAAGCTTCAGCCTCGTTCAAAGGGGTTTTGCAAGTGCAAATTATGGGAACCCAAGAGAATTAGCTCTATTTCTTTAAATAAATCCCCTCAAGGTTCTTCTGAAGCTGGCTGTGGTTCTCTAAGAAGCAGTAAATTCTGCCTGGGGGGAGTGTTGCACCAATACCCTCCCCACCCTCATTCTCTAGCAAGTATCCAGCGGGGTGGGTGGGGCTGCCGCGCAATGGCACAGATTAGGTAATACCCCCCTGTTAGACTGCAGATGTGTGAACTAGTTTAAAACTTTTATTAGGGCTTTTATTAGACTCCGATGCAGTCCCAGCCTCTTTACGGTTGCCAACTTAGCCAGTTGCTCACAAGTTATAACAAATTAGGAATACCTAATGCCTAAGCTATTCTTACACTTTGGGGGCAAAATCCCAAACAAATCATAGTCTTCCTTGTGAATCCAGTCTCCGTCTTAGAAATTGCACTTAAAGGCAGCATGGCACTTGAGTCAGGGTTTCTCATGGCTCTATAATAACCATGTGGATCAATTCTCTCAAGCACATAAACCCCAGGATCCTTTATCATTTTCTGCCTGGCCACAGAATGCCCTCTCTCACGTCTTTGATGGCTTTCCAGAGTCATTTTTTTCCCCTTCTTTTTATTGCATGTATTCCTTAAGTGATCCTAATGCTTCTGGGAGTGCCAGATTGGCATCTTCGAAGGCTGACATTGGCTTTTGATCCCTAGGATAAGTATGATGAAGTAGAAGGTCTTGTTCTCCTTGTGGTTGAGAGAAGAGCTGCAGGGAAAGGGGACACCTCTTTTACCTACAGAGACATGGCAGCCTGGTCCTTGGCTTCAGTGCTTTTATTATGTGCCAGTGAAACACGCTTACCAGGCTGTCTAGCTCCTTCATCTGAGAAAGACATTAATCTCCCCCTATTTAGACTGACTTACAGAGGAGTGAATAGGCACAGAGCAGAAGGTTCCTTTTCCCGGTGTTAATGGCATGCATTGAAATGTGTCCATTCATTAGTCCTCAAACCTTTCCCTTAAAGCTTCAATCCAGGCACCAAAATGAGATTGCTGGGCAGTAATCACAGCCCTAAAACAAAAGTCTTTTGAGCAAATGAAATGATAGGGCAGTGTAGCATTCTAGAAAATGAACACGTTGAATCACCACAATGCTATATTTAGCCTTATTAGAAATGTCTTATTGCTCTAGGCAAGGCATATGTACAAAGATTGCCTGCCTTGTCCACAACCAATATTCGAAGATATTAACTCACTTTGGCGAGCATCTAATTTTGTCTGTTTTTTTTTTTTGGGGGGGGGAGGTCACTTTCTGTTCCACCTCCTGCCACAATTGTTCCTTCCTGTGGCAATGGGTACACATTAGAGAAGAGTTGAAGTAGTCTCTGAAACATTATGCAGATGTTAAATCCTTTGCATCTTAATCTTTCTATTTTATAGATCAAATTGAGGTACAGAAAAAAAATTAATTAGAAAAACCCAGGTACAAATTCGAAATAGACTGCATCCTAGATATCTGGCCGGGGGTAGGGGTGGTGGTGGTGGTGGGGCATGTTGTATAGCCTCTCTGAGACTCTGTTGCTCAATCTGTGAAAAAGAGACCATGTTAACTTAAGGTGAAACTGCTGCACTGATCAGATAAATGGCACATAAGGTATCTGGAATAGAATAGGTGCTCAGCTAAGTAAGCACCAGCGGCCTTTTGTGTCCTCAGGTCCCAGTAGAGCTGTTATGGGCATATCTGAGACTTAGAATCCAGGATTCCTAACTGACTCCACCCCATGTTCTTTCTATCATGTCATGCTGCTTCCTGTGAGATTTACTGGGCAGCTAGCTGCCTGCTTCTCTCTCTGGGGGCGATGGTGCAGATGACAGCAACGCTGTATCACAAACCCCAACCACTGCCATTACTGAAACTATGACCACAAACTACGGAAAAGTCATCTACTGTCACGGGCAGGAGCTCTTGGTGTTTCCAGGATCTGTAGCAGGCAGTCCCTTCGAGATTACAGAGCTACACCACACACGAGGACACAGTTGTGGCAAGGTGGCAGTTGTGACAGAGCAGTAGCCATCACTCTCCAGGATGCTTCCAGTCTGGGGCTTGCCTTTCTAAATAGATTTCGTGTAGACCTAATTTGAAGGCATTCATTACATTCCTAGAAATTCCTGGCAATTTGAATAAACCAAACTCCTTGGGAGAATTATCCTGAAATCACTCACTCACTCACTCACTCACTCACTCACTCACTCATCATTCATTTCTTCTCAAAAATGTTCTGAGCTCTGTTGCGTGCTTAATACTTTGCAAAGCATAAGGAAAGATTCAAAGAAGTGTAATATACAGGCCTTTAAGCATCTTACAACCTTGGGAATTGCTAGTGGACTTGAAAACCTAAGAGGTCCCAGTAAATATTCATTCATTCATTCGTTCGTTCATCCATTCATTCCATACATAGAGAATGCTGACCTGTATAATGCATTGGAGTAGGATAGATGTAGCAAAGGAGGATAAATTTTAATACATACTCTCTTAGTGACTTTCATATTTACAATATAGTATTATTTACTATACTGATGCAAATTATATCCCAAGGACTTACTTACTTTATAACTAGAAGTTTACACCCTTTTAACTACTTTTATTCATTTTACTCCCTCCTTATCATTCCTCTGCCTCTGACAACCACCAATCTGTTCTCTGTGTCTATAAATTCATTTTGTTTGTTTCAATTCCACACGTAAGTGAAATCATACAGTATTTGTCTTCCTTTGACCTATTTCACTTAACCCAATGCTCTCACGTTCCATCCATGTTGTCACAGATGGCAGGACTTTCTTCTTTTTAGTGGCTGAATAATATTCTATTAGATTATATATACCACATGTTCTCTATCCATTCATCCATCAGTGGATATGTAGGTTGTTTTCAGTTCTTGGCTATTGTAAATAATGTTTCAATAAACATGGGAGTGCAGATGTCTTTTCAATTTAGTGTTTCTATTTCCTCTAGGTGCATACCCAAGGTGGAATTGTTGGATCGTATGATAGTTCTATTTTCAATTTTTTTTAGGAACCTCCATATTGTTCTGTGCAGAGGCTGCATGCATTTACATTCTCATCAATAGCACATACAAGTTCCCTTTCCTTCACGTCCTTGCCAACATTTATTATTTCTGGTTTTAGAATCTTATACCCATTGTCATTAAATATTTCTAGAGTGTATGCTTACTGAAGCATTTAAAAATACATATACATAAATTGTTATGGAAAGTAAATTCCTTATGCTTGCTGCTTTGGCAAGGCAGGGACTAGAACTTTCCTGCCTCTAATAAATCTCTCTCTAAAGTTGGCAGTTACCAAAGGCTACTTCATAGAATGCTTTATGAAAGAAAATAACAAACTACTTATATTTTGGAAAGGAGGAAGAAGAACATCTTTACTTGTTTAGTTCTGGTTTTCATTTTCTCAGATTGTTGACTCATAGAATTTCTTTATTTTCTGAATGTGGATTTTTCAAATCCATTTATTTTATTCTCTACTCTTTTGGCTATTTGGTTTTGTTGAATTTTAAGAAGTTGGTGCAAATAACCATTTATTTTGCTTCCTTATAGGAAATGAACATTGGCTACTGTTGCACACCCCTGTGCAGACTGAGGTAGGGCATAACACTCCGACTGTGGCTCTGTGGCACTCCGTGGAAGAAGCCACGGAGAGCGAACCACATGGGTTATGTCATCCAAACTCAACTTCTGCCACAGTGTGAATTACTAACTCAATAGAATAATTTACTTGTATAACTACTGATTCTGTTTGCCTAAATTGTCCCCAGACAATTGATCTATAGCACCTTATTAGTTTCTATCTCTGATTTTTCTTTTTGCACAGGATCCTTCTATTCAAACACCAGACCAGAGAATCCTTTTGGATTCTTGATTGGTTTGAGCCACATTGGCCACTCCCATGTTAAGTTGTATAAACTTAGAAACCCTGGTTGGGGTCCACCATATAGTTTTACAGTAATGTCAGTAAACTTATTTCAATTTTATTAAATGTTTTTGTATAAACAGGGCTTCCTTTTGTCTAGCTCATGCAATGAGACTCTTCAAGTACCTATGATAGGATGTGGCCTGAGAATTTTCTCTTTATTTAGTTTTAGTTGAAGCCCTAAAAGCTGAGAGTAAGGACTTACAAGTAGGCACATTTTAAACATAACCTTTTATCTCATCTATCATGAAATAGCAGAGCTAGTTCTGAAATCTAGAGCCCATTGGCTAATTTGAATCTGTATAATAGAATTAGACATGTATTGGAGGGCTCTTTTGGAGGCAGTTCATGGGGAAGAGAGTATATCTGCGGTTCTCTCTACTAAGCAAAGTCAGATGGGGCCCCAAGAGCAACACATGGAAGCATGCCAGATATTGCTGTGGTGCAGGAGTAGAGCACAGTGGGGACATCACTTAAGAGTACTTACTGTGGGTTCTTTAGAGTTAGGGGATTTTTGAGAACAGACAGCATGATATCTGCCTTTTCCATGGGGAATTTGGAAGACAGAGGCTGGCAAAGTTGCTGTGATGACAGGAGTTGCGGGGGGGTGGGGAGCAAGGCCCAGACCAATGTAATATGTACAGATATGATACTTCAAATTTAATCTGCACTGTTAACATTTTCTAAATCACTTTGTTAGGACTAGATCCAGGTTTCTTAACCTTGGCATTGTTATAATTTTAGGCTGAATAATTCTTTGTTGTGAGAGGTTGTCCTGTGAGTAATAGGATGTTTAACATCACCCCTGTCTGCCCACTAGATACCAGTAGTACGCGTGCTCCCCAGTTGTAAGAGACAAAAATTTCCCCAGACATTGCTAAACGGTGGGCATGTGAGGTAAACTTGACCCTGTTGACAACTAGTGGTCTAGACAACCAAAAAAACAAATTGAACCTTGATTTACAGTGTTGGTCAGTTTTTGTGGTGCATATACTCCCACTCTGGCTTATTTCAAGTGACCAATGTGATGTAACTATAGGCAAAGTCAGAAAGAGATGTGCAGTAGCACATTGTGCTTC